GCCTTAGACAACGACGCAAGTGGCATGCCGGCGGGGGGGGGGGGGGGGGGGGGGGATCGTGATTTCGAAAAACGGAGGAGGACTGGAGGTGTATATTAAGAGGAAGTTGGGGAACAATATTGAATTCGCCACTTTTTTTTTCTTTTTCTTGCATGGACAAGATATCTTACCCTGTCAATATATAATATGAGAAACATCTCTCTCTCTCTCTCTCTGTATATATAGATCCTTCAAGAATGTTCAGGCTGAATCGCATTGTAAAGTGGTCTATACATGATGGAGCGTTTGAGTAAAAAGGTCATAACTGGAATGTTGTGTGTGTCATGTAACTTTGCAATGGCACCCCGCCGCAGGTACGAAGATCTTGCCTCATCCTTATTGCAAGTACAGGAAAGACAGCCACCAGCACGGCAGAGCAAACACACTGCAGTCAGGAAAGAGAAGAGGAAAATCGAGAGACGTCCCCAGGGAAAAAGTAAGACATCACCTTTGATGAAGTCCCGAGCAGACCGTGCTGCGGTCACGAAGCCACAGAAAGCGAAACAGTCAGAAGGTAACAAACGACAACGAGATTCGGCCCCCACCTCGCCGGCCTCCGTGAAGAATCGCACACGACACAACCGATCCCCGCCACGGGCGCCAAGGAAAACGTCATGTGCAAAAGGGGTGGAGGATCAACCTCGGCGCAACATCGAAAATCCGAAGAGGAGGAGAATCATTGACGGGGTGGGAGAGGAGAAGGAGGCAATTGATCTGAGGGGTTCCGATGGTGTCGAGGCAGGCGACACCGAAAAACGAGACGTGTCACGGGACGCAGTCCGTAAGACACAACAGTCCGACCCGCACGATAGTACCGAGGGCGGCGGTGGACGTAGCGAGGGCACATGCAACGAAGGAGAATCGTACGCAGAAGATGCGAGCAACGAATAGGAGAACAGCGACAGTGGGTCCTACAACAACGAGGATGTTGATGACGACGATGAAGAGGAGGAAGACCGATCCCGGAGCAGCGGCACGGAAGAAAGATATAGCGAAGACAATACACAAAACACGTTTCGAAGAACGCATGGAGGAAAAAGTAACGGACGCAGCGAGGAAAACAACGCGGACAAGCAGTTAGTCCTGAAGGAGAAGACAAACGAAGGACGTAAGTACAGAATGGGCGCGGAAAGGGGAAAAAAAAAAAAAAAAAAAAAAACATGAAGACAAATGGTCACTCGACATGTTGTTTCGCTCAAACTGTTGTCGTTGTTTGGACGTAGTGCAAAATGGTAGAGAACTGTATGCGTTGTAGGATAAGAAAATCTGAGATACGCTGCAAATAACTAACCACATTTGCAGTTGTTTCTCCTGTGAAGCCATTGTGCGAATGGGGTGCATGACAACTTCAAACTTGTGGGTATTCGCGCGCGTTGTTGCAGGTCGGTGCATATTACAAGGAGAGAGACAGCGCAAGGACGACACGAAGGTGGCCAAGCAATCGGGGGTTGCCACAGGAGAGGAAAGCGAATTATTTGGGGAAAAGCAAAAAGACAGACTGCTGAGGTCCGTCGCAAAATCTTTTGTGCACTCAACAGCGAAGGACACAACTTTCTACCCTTCATAGGACGACTTCTTCAATGCGGTGCAGTTGGCTGCTACCCTTTTGGGATAAGATGTAAGGGCAGGATGGGGGAAGCATGAAGAGAAGAAGGGTTTGCGGAATGTGCTCATAGAGTGCAACCGAATGATGACAACGGTCTGCGGAGAGTTGTCTTGGCACTTGAGACACTGGTTCTGGGCAGAGAGAGGTGTCCCCCTCGTACGCGGCACACAGACGGATCATAATAACACCATGCGCAACGAACTGCGTTGCCAGATGAGCAAAGACAAAACGTGGAGGAGGAAGGACGAGGAGCCATGGGGAGCGTCGCATTTCAAGAGGGCACTTACAAAAGTGTTCCAAATAAGAAAAGACGGTGAGAAGTTAGGCGTGACGTTGTAGCAACTAGCGTTTACCGAACTTGTGATCCGCACAGAAATCACGCAGGCGAAGAAGTTAAGCAAAGCGTCGGATCAGTTGCTGCAAATGGTCAGTATAAAGAACGACAAAGTGAACACAGCCCGGAGCCGGGACACAGTTATGATTTTCTGCATTTTCAAGCTCGACACCGATACCCACGTGGCAGATGTGGCTACACGGTACCACAGAGCAGGGAACACAAGGAGAGACATGCGTGCGGTTGACAACAACAGCGACAACGCACAGGACTTTGAATTCGAAGTGCTGGTGCCACACACACAATCACGAGCTTCATGCTGAGGACCTTCGAAACCTGTCCCGGACTGGTACTCCTGTTCTTCAGACAGATGACGCATGGTGAAAGACGTGGTGGTACTGTGTGTCTGCAACTCCTACCACAGGAAGACGTCGAGAGAGAGAGAGAGAGAGAGAGAGAGAGAGAGAGAGAGAGAGAGAGAGAGAGTCTGGGTGTGATAGATAGATAGATATATAGATAGATAGATAGATAGATAGATAGATAGA